GAAAGAACTGTCAGACCCATCAGAACAATGCTTAGAAAAGCCCAAAGACCTTCATGCTGCACTTTTAGCATATAGGAACACTCGTATTGATAGTACCTAACTAGCTGTCTGCCGCGAACATAGATTTTTTCTGGAATTGTAGTCTGGCAATTCTGGGGCTGCTGTTAGTGTTTTCTTGATTTCATTGAAGCTTTTCTATTGTTCATCCCAGTGCCATACAGTTTCTTTGACAAGTAATTGGCGAAGAGCTGCTGTCAAATCAGACATGTTAGGGATAATTTAACTAATGTAGTTCAGTACACCAAGAAGATTTTGGATGAGGCATTTCCAAAAATGAATGCTGTGACTTTCTCTGTTTCTCTTGGTCTGTTTTCAATCTCTCTGCTGTAAAGATATGTCCCAGATATTTAACTTCCGACCGTCTGATCTTTGACTTTCCTTTGTTGGGCTTCAAATTATTTTAGGATGAATGAGAGACCGAATATATTCATTCTAGTTGATATTCAACATCGAATAGGATAGGAGATTACATAGAGCAATATTTCGGTTTTATTGCAAAACCATCATCAGGCTAATAGTTACAAAAGTGCAAAGACAAGACAATATATACTAGATAAATCAATTAATTAAAGAAAGTTAATTCTCTAGAAGCGCGGAGGCCAGTGTTTAATAACAATAAAATAACAATAAAAGATTCCAATTGTTATCACTACTTATAACAGAGGTGTTGTTCTGMACGATGTTTTTATAAAATTGGCGCTCATCAAACATGTCTACATCATGGATGGAAAATAAATCTAATATTGTTGCAGTTTTCTAAATGACAAAAGATGGCACGGGTGTGGAGAAACCCTGGGCCTGGGCCATGGCCTAGGCCATGGCCCTACCTATGGCCCTACCTGTGGCCCACGCTAAATTTGCCTGTTTTCATCAAATATAGGTCCAAAATGAGTGACTCGTTACTCAAAACCACGAGAAGCATTGTAATATCAAGGAGCCATGTTGTTTCCACAGGTAACCCAGACGTCCACACCAATAAAAACTGTTAAATTACTACATTTGGATCAGGTCTYATCAACAGGAGCCTTAGATGTATTCTTTGAATATTTAAACATGCAACCTCAGGTGGAGTTTCACTCTTTTTTTGCTGAAAATTGAGCAAAAAATTCATTGTACACTAAATATTATCAGAAATCTTGGGCTATAGAAACTTTTTTATATATGACAGTAACTCTCTAAACAATGAACCGATACTTATAGTGAGTTTTCAAACTTTTGGCTCAGTTTGGTAGCTCCAATAGTATTTTATCTTCTATTTCAGACAATTTGCTTTAAATGACTAACCAGTATATGATCCTACATTTATTGTACCAATGTAACGGTTTGTTCTACTGGAAGTAAGCACTCCACTAAAACACACTTGTCATGAAAAACAAGAAACAATAATAACAAACAAATGGCTTTTATTTTATAAAAACATGATAGTGCTTCATATGTGGCAAATTTTTGTTCCGCTTATGAAAATCTAATCTAATCAACATTTAAACATGATKAAATTCATGCGTATAAACTCCATATGCACTCAAAGTTTGCAGWAATGTTAACAAAGTTTGTTTWAAAGTTTGCAAAGAAAGTTTAACAAAGTTTGCTTTAAAGTTAAGAAAGTTTCTTTTAAACACCCATTCTGTCTTCCAAGTAATCAACTTCAGAGGCACACAAAGTGTGTTTGACAGCAATTCTAACGTTTCTGMCCCAAAGTCTGGGTTTCTTGCATTCAAACAGTTGACAAAGACATGATAATGCTTATTGTCAAAAGTTGTCTTCCAGTTATTGTGACTTGAAATAAAGACAAAATCATGTTCTTTATGACGAATACATAGTTTCTTATCAAGCGCATACTGGGAATAACTGTCAGGTCCATCTTTCAGATCTTTATGAMAACCTGCACATTTTCGTATTTTCCCTTGAATGTCAATTAGTTCAAAAGGTGTTGTTGTTGTGGGTTGCACAGATGGTTTCTGGGGCTTATCTTTGGTACGTCGAATTGTTACTTTCAATGAATCATCAGATGGTTCAACATGATAGTCGAACAGTTCACCAATTGTCTCTTGATTCCCACTCTGCCCTTGCTTCCTTTTTCCTGACACAGAGATCATTTGGTCAGGTGATGCAGTACGTTTAGGTCTAGAGACAGGCCGCTTTTTGCCAGCATTTKTATTTACTACAGATGTTGTTATGGCTGTTAAGTTAATTGAGTGCTTCTCATTCATTTTCTTGAATACTTGTAAAAAACCTCTTAACTTCTTGTCTTGAAATGCTACTGYGATGACATGAGAGCAGATTTTTCTTGTCTTAAATCYAATGCATGCRCCATCGCAGACAAAGTTTCCAGTAGTATGGTGTTAAACAGAGTGAGGAGTGGTCGAGGAAGAGCTCTTAACTAGAAAAGTGGATTTTCTCGTATCCTTCTCGAATGGAGTTATCTTTTACTAGTTGCTCATCCTTATTTGTTAATGCTTGGAGGTCTTTAACAGTGAACACATTTTGTAGTTCATCTTTGCAGATTTCTTTCATGTCATGTGTGGTTTCAGCTAACAAGGAAGGCCTAGGGTGCGCACTGAAAAAAAGATTCTTTCGAACGGAGGATTCTGACAGTTCCTCACTTTCATCATCAGGGTGTTCATTATGCTTATCATCAGCTGAAGACATTGATCGAGGTGGTTGGTGACGATATTTGTAAACTGTTTTGTACACAACTGGATCCACCACAACTCTTTCATTGAATTTGCGCTTCCCTGGGCTGTCTTCAAAGAAATCCGATGGTGACCTTGCATGGCTTAGGTACTCTTGACGAACAACATATGGGCTGTCTAAGCCAAGGAAAGCTCTCCTTACATCAGATTTTTGCTTGTCTACCAGCTCCTTTACATCTTCAGTGAAAGTGCTCATATCTTTAGGGGTAAAATGTTGCCATCTTTTGAGTAATGCATTGGCTGCCTCTGGAACATTATTTGYATGTACCAAGTCTCCGAAACCTGCATCTCTTGATGCTTTCAAACTTMCATGATT